TTGCTAAGGTACCTTCTTGCTGTGGGACAATGGTCTTGTATCCTGTAACAGTTTATAAATTGTACTGGTTTAATAAAATGCTGATTGGCCAGTAGCCAGGCAGGAAGTTTAGGTGGGTGACAAGAACGGGAGAATTTGGGGAAGAGGAAAGACTCTGCAGTCATCACTCATATACAGAGGAAGCAAGGTGAGAATGCCTTGCTGATAAAAGGTACCAAGCCACATGACTAACACAGACAAGAATAATGGGTTAATGTAAGATGTAAGAATTAGTTACTAAGAAGCCTGAGCTAATAAGTCAACCAGTTTATAATTAATGTAGACCTCTGTGTGTTTCTTTGGGACCGAGCTGAAAGAAACCTCTGTAAGCACCTTCTGATTGCTTTAACAAATTGCTGAATGGCCAGTAACTAGGTAGGAGAGGAGAGGCAGGATTTCTGGGGAGTGAGAGGAAGAGGAGATGGAATCTAGGTCCACAAAGTATGCCAGGAGATGCCGGTGAAACACAGAGGGAGTGGAACATACAGAATGAAGGAGAGGTAAAATGCCACATAACACAATAAAGATTTATTTAAGTTATAAGGGCTAGTAGAACAAGCCTAAGCTATGGCCAAGCTTTCATAATTGATAATAAGTCTCCATGTCACTATTGGAGGGACTAGTGGTCCCAAAAGAAAGCTGAGCAAGAAAGCTTACTACAACTGTGTCACTCGTTGGGCATGAAATAATTGGGAATTAGGGGAATTAGGCCACCTATGTGTGTTCTCCAATGATTTCAAGACTGGAATTCAAGAAATTAAAAGACACCAGAGACTTGAAACTTAATTTAAGCCCAGTTTATCTTTTTATTTTTCTCCTCCTCCTCCTCCTCCTCCTCCTCCTCCTCCTCCTCCTCCTCCTCTTCTTCTTCCTCCTCCTCCTTCCCCTTTTTCTTTCTCTTCTTCCCCCTTCTTCTCCTTCTCCTCTCTTCTTTGGAAACATCTCATGTAGCCCTGGATGGGTTTAAAGTTCTGCCACTGGGAGTACTGAGATTGTAGGTGTCCCCACCACCACCTCTGGTAAACAAACCCTGCTTTAAAACTCAAACTAATACTTAGTTGTAACTTCTTTTCAAGAGGGGAAAACCAAGAGATTGAAAACAACAATGTATTTTCTGTTTCTTTCCACTTCTCCATTCAGCAATAAATTTCTATCAAAAGTTAGCAGCATAATACAATCCACAGCTTTCTGTACACTTGGGCCTTCTCATTTCTAGTGATAGTATTTTGCTGGGAAGTCAGGAAAACCAAGCCCTGAATTCCAGTTTCTGAGCTAATGTGGACTTCTACAACTCTACGGGATGACTATGGCAACAATTTCAATACTTCTACTCTGAGAACAGAAACTATTGACAGTGGCTCACAAACTTTCTAATTAAAAGAACTATTAATCCTTTAGAGTTTTTAAAACTCATGCCATGCCCCAAGACAGCCAATCACAGTGTGTGTGAGAATCTCAAGTGTTTGCCGTTTCCCATGTGACCCTGAACACTTGGGCCCTGGCTGGTGGTGCTGTTTGGGAAAGCTGTGGGACCTTTAGGAGGTGGACCATGGCTAGGAGTGGGTCAGTATGGGCAGACTTTATGCCAAGTAGCCTGTCCCCACATCCTGTTCACTTTGCTTTCTGGGTGGGAGTGCAATGTAGCCAATTAGCTGCCTGCTCCCATCGCCAAACCTTCCCTACCAGCTGCTGTGTCTGCTCTGCCAAGATGGACTGTCCCTCTGGACTGAAAGTCATGAGAAAGCTTCTGCTTTTTAGATTATTTTGTTCAGGTAGTTTATTATAGTAACAGTGAATGTTTTAATGCTATCTCGTTCATTTGAGGATTATGTTTCCTTTGTATTAATGTGACTATCCTAAGTGAGCTAGTTAGTAAACTAGTCATTAAAAGTTTGGCCACCAGGCACAACAAGTCTGAAAAAAAAAAGAAAAAAAAAAAAGAAGGGAAGACAATATTCAGAATCCTTGGTGTCCATCTGCTCTTCATTTGCTGTGAAATGTCTCCATCGGGCTCATGTTTTGAATGTTTGATTCCCAGCTGGTGAAAAACTATTTTGGGATGTCGGGAGGAACCTACAATGTGGGGTCTAACTGAAAGAACTGGGTCACTAGGAATAGACTCTTGGTGGTACATTATCCCTGACCACTTCCGATCTCTCTGCTTCCTGCCCAACATAATGAAGAAGTCCCCCACTCCAGCTCTTGAGCCAAGCCTGGTGACACATGCCAATCCCAGCACTTGGGAGTGAGTGCCAGGAGGACCAGGAGTTCAAGACTATTGATGCTGGTCTCTCAAAAAAGCAAAACAAATGATAAAGAAAAAAAAAAACCATGACTTTCCTTCACAAAGCATCCTTGCTTTCTGCAATGTTCTGCCCAAGTTTCAGAGGCTGAGAAACCATGCATGAATCTTGTGAAACTGTGATCAGAATAAACGGCGACCATTCCTTTCTTGACTGCTCGCCTCAGCAGTCTGTAAAGGGGCTACCTCATCTTAGTTTGTCAAATACTTGAACTGTTGTCCAGTGTCTGACTACAGTAGGCACTTTACCAAGGCAAACAGCATCTCTTCTAGGGTTTAGGTTTTAATCATGGTTCTCAACACATGAAACAGACAACCCACACCAACATCCATGGCTTCCACAACAGCCTCGTGATGCCACATATGCGTCGATCAGATGACTAGACATGTTTAGTATTTCTCTGTTCTTCAATTTCTGTAGTCTATGTGAAACAATTGTGGCAAACACACCTTTCTTCAAGCACACATGGTGCCTCTTTAACTTTTTTGGTAAGTTTGGATCCCTGATCTTCCTCATAGGAAGAAAAAGAAACATCTGTGCTGTTTGACATAGTTAGTGCTTGGAGAAATCTTCCCCAAACAACAAAACCCCTCATGGTCCAAGCAGATTCTCTCGTCTGCTTTTAATTTGAACTTTAGAGTGTCACAGATATGTGAAAGGTTTCAATATAAGATTCTTCTTAAAAGCCATTTTTTTTTTTGCCTATGAGGAGAAAGTTGCAAAATTTTGTAAAATGTAATATTGAGTTATGCTTAGTCATGTTTCATGTCTTTCTCCAAGGTTCGTTTTTTTTTTTTATGTGGAATTTGTTTAACAATTTATATTAGCATAGGGTTGGCTGCTACTGCTCTCCAAAGATAATTCTGCGTTTAGGGACTGGGGATATGAAGACACAGTCAGTGGCGAGAGCATGGTAGCATGTGCAAGTCAGTCTTTCCCTCCACCCCCGACACTGCCACGCTGCCCATCAGTGCTGGGGCATGGGAATGGGCAACCATGAAAGACTTTCATGGAGTCTCCTGGGGTCATGAATTCAGGTCCTTGTGCTTGCAGAGGGTGTTGTCTTGTCCTTTTAGCCATTTTTGCTGCCTCTGTTATGCGTTTACACAATGTTCCTTGTTTCTGTCATCATTAAACCAAGTTTATAGTCCTTAACACATACACACACACACACACACACAAACACACACACACATATGTGAGTAACAAAATGAATTTGAGCCGGGTGGTGGTGGCGCAGGCCTTTAATCCCAGCACTCAGGAGGCAGAGGCAGGTGGATCTCTGTGAGTTCAAGGTCAGCCTGGTCTACAAGAGCTAGTTCCAGGACAGGAACCAAAAACTACGGAGAAACCCTGTCTCGAAAAATCAAAAAAAAAAAATTTGAAAGAGAAGAAGGAGGGCTATATGGGAGGGGTTGTAGGGAGGAAAGGGAATAATGGAATGATGTCTTTATAACATTAAAAATAAATTATTTTAAAATGAGGAAAATATTTAAAGTCTTCCAGCTGAACATGAGAAGGAGGTGAGGGATGTGTGGTTTCAGTGTAACCACTTTAAAACAGAAGAAGTTAGAGTAAATTAGTTTTCTCCTAGGATAAGAGATTGAAGCTTACTGTAAAGCTTGTAAGAAAAACTGTATCCCCTCCCCCTTCTCTCCTTTGACGCATGTTAGTAAGAGCAGATCACCACATAAGTAGGAATCTTGCCATTGTGGCCATGGCAGACCTTGAGTAGGAAAAAAAAAGCAAAAATAAAAAAAAGAAGAGCATTTGATTTTAAATTTTATGTCAAAACTCAATCACTATCCTACAGCTATACTATGATGAGACAGGAAGATTTTGTACCCACAGATTTATTTATTAGAGTAATAACTCTGGAAATCACTTGATTGTCTCTTAGTACCTGGTTAAGCAAATCAGAGAATAGACTCTAAATAATGCAACCAATCAAAAGACTGAGCAGGACAGTAGTCAAGACTCTCAAAGCAAAGAGATCTAGGTGCAGGGCAGTGTGTAGCCTCTGTGAGCTTAAACTGGTAAAATAGCCGTGAAATGTTTGCGTGGGCAAGCAGTCAAATACATTGTTTAGGAGTCAACCACCATAAGAAATTTGGTGCATACATATTTGTGTACCATATACAAATTCTAGATTCCCCGAGATTCTGTTTCAGGCTTGCATTTTATATGTCTTCTCTCTTCTAGTCTTCTACTAATAAAGTACCTGTAGTTTTGAATATTTTATTCATACTTGTAGACTTTCCTTTTCTTAGTATTATCCTAAGTTCCTAGTGGGGTGGGAAGAAGAGGTTGCCCGATCTCTCTGGCTCCATCAGGAATGGCTAGAATTGAGCCTGGTCAACAAAGATGTGCAAAGAAAGACATCTCCACTCCAGTTGGCTCCTGCAGAAAGAATCCAGTAACCCAAATACATTAAACTTCTGCCCCACACCCCTCCTAGAAGGCTCTGCTTTCTCCCATTTCATGAGAATAATGAGAATATTTCCCATTTTCTTCTACTTTTTTTTTTTTTTTTTTTTTGAAGATATCAGTTCTCGGGATTGGCTTTCCTGGCACACCAGGCAATCAGCACACATAGGAAAAGAGAGTTTCTCTAGATGGAGAAGCAGAGACTTGTGGACAAAAAGGATGCTTCCAGAGACATCCTACCAGGTCCCCTCTCCGTGAGCCAACAGAGAGCATGTGCTGTAGCCTGACTCCCTTCAAAATTAACCACTTCCGGGAACATAAAAAGCAATGAATATTCTAGGACATCTGTGCTATTTAAAGAACATGTTGGCACAGTCAGCCAGTCACTACTATCCTTTGAATAGTGAACCTAGTGTTTTGTGGTTTTGATGCAGACTTTCAGAATACTACAGAAAAAAATAAATGAGGAAGGTTATTTTATTCTTCCCCCGATTTGGAACATATATGTGTGTGTGTATGTGTTATTATATATATATATATAATTTATATATAAATCTAATATGTATATTATATTTTTAACAAAATTATACATCCCTCTCCTCATTCTAATCAATGCAATACAGGTGAAACAAAAATTGAAATAATCACTTGATAAGAGAAGTGGGACATTCTAGAATTTGTGGTTTTGTAATCATTTTTAAATCAGAGTAATTAAGGCAAATTTTCTTGCATGTCAGAGTATATAATATATTCCAAATTAATTATTTGGCTTACATCGGAATGCACTTGTTCGCCGTGTTTCCACACATCCTCCTCTCCATTCTGCCCATCACCGTGGACTTTGTAATTGCTTTCTTGGAAATCCCCTTCCTTCCAGTAACTATTGGCCACTTAAATAAATATTAATTTGTTGGAAACCATTTTTTTTACGGATGCCTTTTTGAAACATCCCTCAGTGGCAGAAATTGCCTTGGATTTCACTAGGTCGGCCAGGATGGACCTGAATTCATGGGCATACCCCTCCTTCCTCAGCCTCCAGAATCCTGGGTTTATATGATTAGCCACCAACCACATCTGGTAGAAAAGTATTTTTGAAAGTAGTAATATCTGATCCATCCCGTATCACCATAACCATTTGAGTTTATAAATGTGGAATACATTCTCTTTAAAGCTACTCACACATAGACATATATCTTATCTTTTAAAAACAACAACAACAACAACACACACACCTTCCCCTAAGATGACAGTTCCAAAATGCATCTATACTTGTAACAATTTATGATTATTAAATGTTAAATTTTATTTCAAGGACTATCAGAGCAGAGAGAGAGAGAGAGAGAGAGAGAGAGAGAGAGAGAAGGACTATCCAAGCAAAGATAGCACATCTCAGGAAATAAACTAGTATTTTCATGTTAAAATTTACATGCCTATCACTGGCTATTCCAAGAACTCCTTGCATCCTATACTCTAGAAATAAAAGTAGAAAGGGTTACACATTTAGGAACTATGAGCTGAAATTCCTTCAATATAGAATATTTATGACTCAAGACAATCAATGTGTACAAAAATTTACATGCAAAAGAAACAAGACCAATGCAGCACCTCTAGCAAAATAATTAAAACTTTTGTTGCATTTACAGGTAAGTGCCACACCGAGGATTTACAACACAGTAATTTACTGCAACCACGGATGAGTTCCATCAAGAAACAAAGTCCTCACACTCCGGACTTGCGGAAGGTATTCTCGGAATGCTCAACTCTACACAGGAGGTTTGTACATCCTTGGGATCGAGCTGACAAGTCATAAAGGCTTTCGCAGCATATATTAGATAAAGGAGTCCGTCACATCTAGACAGTCAGTTTAATGTCTCTGGCAGGTGTGCAGCCTAGAAGAGTTATTGGCTTGGTGGTGCTCCTTCTGTATCCTGCAAGACAGGCCTTCCCCACAGTAACAGCGCTGGAATATCTCCAGCCCGTGGGAGCCTTTCCGCCTGTGCTTGGTGCACACCTGCCCCTCTTTGAGGACAGGTTTACAGATCTTGGACCAGAAATGTCGCGCGCAACACAGTCCCATGGCACAGTCTGAGGATCGGAGGCAGAGAGAGCCCTCTTGTCCTGTGGAGGAGACAGAAGGAAAGTGACAGTTACTGCTAGGCCTGCACGTCTCATGAAGAGACCTCTGAATGCACTTCTGATAACACTAAGTGGAGAGGCTCAGTCTTAAAGCTACCTTTGGTGTGGTATATTTTTGAAGTCAGCGTGGTCCTTCTGGGATAGCCATCCAAAGTGCCGTGGTCGTTACCAAGGTTTTCAACGATGCTTTCCTCAATTTCCCCTCGCGGCAAATGGCTGTGGTCAGAAGGCATGCATATTCCTACGGAAGCCAGAAACCGTGATTAGTCCCCAGGCTGTACATAATGTGTTTCTGCAAACCACGATGAAACCAGTCTATTGTGAGATAACTCACTGCCGTTAATACCTTCTCTTCAACAGATCTCCCCAGACAAGGACACATCAATGAATGTCCTGTTCACTCATAAGGACTACCCTGGGAGAGCCATTTAAGATGCTTTCCCACTAATTGTGGAGGTGGCAGCAAGGATATTTCTGTCTAGTTTAATATTACCCTTTGGGGGTAGGAAAGAAGAGATCTAGTCACTTAAAAATTAATCTTAAAAATAACTTCTCCACTCTGGGCGCTCTCTGGGCAAGGCAGTTCCAGCTGTCTGGAAGACTACCATCTCACCCGCCGGTGGCCTCACTGTGTAATTTCGATATTACAGAGACTTAGTGAGTTCCCTCTGGAATGCTGTTGTGCCCTAGGAACTTAGCTACCCTGTGGATTTATTTCTGGAGACTTCTTTGAGACATTCACATTTTGTGGATCTGTGGTTGTGTGGTTGTGTGTGTGTGTGTGTGTGTGTGTGTGTGTGTACCAACACTGGAGGGTACTTCTTTGAAGGTAGTTGAGAGTGGAGGGAAGGGAGGGGAAGTTGTGGAACGCTAGTAAGTGGTACAGAGATCTCTTTTAAAAGTTACCCAGCAGAGATTAATTTCCCTAGCCCTTGGCTGACAACAGTTTTAGCATCCAGAGGCCTGGCAAAGAAAAAGGAAACTGGTAGCAAAATGCCAAGGCTGGCTTGCTAAGGTTTTTCTTTCGGAGTGACTTTTCCCCCTTTCTCAAGTGTCCTGACAGAAGTGTCCACTCTAATAATGCAAAGTGTGTTAGATCACCCAGGGTGGCAGAGGAAGATAAACTCCCAAGGCCTCAAACACAAGCCCGTGGAGATGTAGCGGGGAAACCCTTACATGAGCCCAGGTTCGCAAGTGGAGCGTGGGCTTTGGCAGAGGTAGAGCTCAAAGGCAGAGCTGTTCCAGTTTACAGGGGAGTCCGAGACTCACCGTTTTTGCAGTAATTCCCGGGGCAGCACATAGAGTGCCTCATGCAGCGTTTCCTGCGCTTTCTGCAAGCCAGACAGATCTGTATGCCCACACCCGCACCTCCGCGGCTGGGACTGGAGCAGTACTCTTCAGTGCCGCACTCCTCATCCTCTGCGCAGGGGTAGGGCTGTGGGAAGGGAGCAGAGGGTGAGCAACTCAGGCATCCTGGTACCCACACCTTCAAGGTCCGCATCAGCATCCTCTTCAAAAGCTCTTCCAAGCACTCTGCTCCCAATGCAGTGATTCCAAACACACCCTCAATCTCACCCCGCTAGGATACTGTATGCCCTCTTCTCTGAGACCCCTTAGATCCCTGACACCCCTCTCACCTGGTAGTTGTCAAGAGTCTGGTACTTGTTCCCACCCTCGTACAGAACTCCCGGCGCCACACTAACGGCCGAGCCCGGCTGCCCCGCAGCGCCACCCAGCGGTGGGGGCAGGTTCTTGATAGCATTGGAATTGATGAGAACCGAGTTCAAGGTGGCGCTGACTCCAAGCGGAGGGAGGCTGCAAAAAGCCATCGCTGCTAGCAAGACCAAGAACCGGACAGCTGCCACTGCACACACAACCGTCATCTCAGAAGACCACAAGCCGGAGAAAGTCAGGAAAAAAAGAGGTCACTTTGCACCACAGCAGCTGCAGAGTCCAGACTGCGGAACTTCAGCCGATGGAGTCTCTGCTGCTGGACTCTGGGCTCTGTGCAGTCACCCGCCACCTCAGGCTGGCTGCCTTTATACTCGGGCTCCAGCCTTCCCAGCCCCTCGGGGAAGACAACAAAGCCGGGATGGGATTTCAAAGCTTTGGGAGGAGCTGGGAGCGGGAGTGTTTGTGTATCGGAAGCTGGGAGGACTTTGACACTCTCCCCCTCGCCCCTCCCTTGCACTATAGTCCTCCAAGTCCAGCTCACCTTAGAGTGCGGGTTATCAGAACATCAGAGCCTAACCTGAACTTTAATTTGGGGGGGGGGCGGGAGTGAGCTCTCTGTGAGCTTGGGTGCTCTGCGGAGGGATTGGGTTATTTTCGTCTGAAATACTTTCAGAGTTAAAAGGTGATAGAATATACAGAACCACTTTTCTTCTCTCACGCTAGCTTTTGCTGTGTGTGTGTGTGTGTGTGTGTGTGTGTAAGCGAATAATATTCAGTATTAAACACGACTCAAGCAGTCATCCAAAGGGTCTGTGAAAGGGCCAGGTGGCGCCTGTGAGTTGCTGATTAACCCTTTCGCAATTGCGATTTTCAAATGAGGTCTTTTAAGTTTGTCTAGCTGCTCCCCCCCCGCCCCGTTCCCGTTCCCCCACCCCCGCACACGCATACCAGGGAAAAAAATGTGCAAAGACAGGAAAATTTGCACATCAAATGAGGATACCAAGGGAAGAACTAATTCGCTTTTGAAGGTACATTTGGAGGGAGAGGCGAGAGACTGACGTTTGGAAATTAGATCAGGGGTGCGGGCGAGAGGGAACCGGGCCCTCGATAATCAAACTATTTAATGTGCTTCTTTGAATCTGGTCAGTCCCAGCAGTTGATGAACTTGATTAAGCAGACACGTGAGATCAAAGTGGCCCGAGTCAGAGCGGACAGGGTCCCTGAGCCGGGTGAGTCCTCTTTCCCTGGTTCCCGGTTCCCAGCGGTTGGTTAATAGAAGAAGATAAGAAACCCTGAAGGCTTAGCTCCTGACTTCCTCATTAATGTTTAGTAGCGCTGAGAGGGAGAGGGCTTGCTTTTGATCCCAAATCAAACCTTGTCCAGGACAGGACTGGAGGAGTAACTCTTCAGGGAGATAATAAGCTACCTCTCGGAAAGGAAGTGCCCAGCCTGAAGCAGAGAATGAATTTACAGTGGTTTCCGAACAGAGCGTGGACTAAGAAGCAACGCTGACGTAAGGACGCTGTGCTTATAAATTAGAGGTGATTTATTGAGAGAATAAAAGTCAAATTCCTTGTTCCAACCATTGCAGTGCTAAGAGAGACAGTTGTCAGACATAACAAATGATAAGAACTGTACCTTAGTAATGTTTAAGAACAGACTGATGAGTGCAAGAAAAGAGGCGATTCTTGTGTGAGACTGGAAAGAAAGAAATGGTTGGAAATCACTGTAGAAGAGCATGGAGTGAGGTGTCTTCCCTTAGCTTTGGATTGTCTAGAATTGCTCACAACACTGCGAGATCTCTAATCGCCATTCCTGGGAAGGCCCCCAAAGAGCCTATGATAGTCTTGAACAAATACAGTCCTGAAGCTGAGCAAGGAGAGTTATTATGAAATACATATTCTTAATATCTGTTTTCTGGTTTGGTAGGTTTCAGAAGTCATCTTAAAGTGCTGCCTAAGTGACTTTTAATGTCGCCTCACTTCTTTAATGATGCCTCTGTACCCAGTGATGTCCTCTCTCACCCCTACCCTCCTACCCCATATACCTTGGAGAATTTCCGGGGTGGTTTATTGAAAGTCCAACGTAGTCTAAAGCCTGTGTATCTATCTGGCTTTTATTAGGAAAATGTGCAATGGTGTAGCCGAAACTGGCTACCTGCAGATAGTTGGAAAATTGGGAAAAGAAGAGCTTTTAACGTTTTGTTTAAAAGTCACCATTAGAAACAATAAGAGGGGAACAAGTCAATAACAAAACAGATTTCCCTGCCAGTCTGTGGATCAGAAATTCGCAGAGACACTGGGAGATGATGGGACCGAAGAGCCTACAGTGGTAGGAGGTCCTGGAGACCATGTTATCACTTCCAGCACATTGATAGCAATGTCAGCGATGAATTGCTGTCTTTCAATTTAAATTCATATAACATTAGACAGTAGAAAATGAATTCCCTGCCCATCTGAGAAGTACAAGGATATTTCCCCAGTCCTATTATCTTATTTAAATAATTCTAGAAAAGCATCAGTGCTGCACAAAAGGCCCACCCCTTTCCCTGTGTTCTGATGGAATGGTCCCCTATTAATACACCGAATCTTAATGAACAGAACTTAGCTCGTCAAGAACTTGGGCCCCATATGAAATCCAGGGCCTAGTTGTGGCGCTCCCTACTTTTTGTGTTCCTTCTGCAGGCGCAAGCAGGTCCACGTCTGTGGTCTTACTGTGTGATAAGCACTGTACTTGGTGCTACCTCAGTAAAAAAAAAAGGAATGGCTGGAACAGTCACCTTCGAATTGCCTAGGTAAAGAAAAAGTAAGCTCATAAAGGGCAGCGGGGAGACTCGCCCTTCTCAGTGCAGCCTATGCTTCGCTTGAGGATACTTGCCTGGATTTTACTCGCTCTCAGGTGTCAAACTCAGGAGGTAAATGATGTCCACTGTCCACTGCTTCTTCCATGTCAAGGAACACTCAGGGCCTATTAAGAGCATCTCTCCAATACGCTGACGGCCGACTCCTTCCAGCCTCCCCGTAGCCTGATAAACACAATATCAGGGCCCAGAAGGAGCTTTGGCTGAGGCGTGGATTGGTTTCTACTGTGGTTGCTTTCAGGTTCTTCAGGTTCTAAGGCAGTGTCTCACTGCATAGCCTGCACTTGAGAATATCTGACACTGTCTCCTCCAGTGCTGGGGTTCCAGGTGTGGATCACCGCCTCTGACTCAGTATTGTTATTTAAGTAGACTGTACATGGTACACACTGGTCAGGAGGAAAGAGAGAGGCCGAGAAAGTCCAACCATGTCTACATCTCAGGCAGTTGGAGGCCCGATGATGCTGAAGATCCTGCAACTGGGTGATGGGGTGGTAGGTATGTCTATTCAACTTGTTGGACGTAGTCTAACATGTCCACAGTTATTGCAAAACAATTAATATTTTATATTAAATTTAAAGCTAGGAGAAATGTTTGGCACAGTGGAACTGAACTGTGTAACTCAGGGATGGTGCCCTTCCTCCTAGGTTAAGTGGTGGGCACCAGCACTGAATACTCGTCATTTTAACCCATGAAATGAACAGACAAATAATGTTTAAAGAAACAAAACAAAACACTAGACTGTTTGCAAACTACTTTCCCACCATCATCTGTGGTTCTTTGTTCCCTCTCCCTCCCTTTATCTTCTTCCCCTCCCCTCTCCATTTCTTCTCTCTACTTGCCAAACCAAAGGAGATAAATCATTGACATTTAATTTTTGCTTCAAGAAAAAAAGCATTCAGTAAGCAGTGAGTACTGCCAATGTCTTCCTGGGTACCAATCTGGAATTAATAGCAAGGATTTCCCATTCGTGATGTTTAATAAAACAGTGTGACTTTCTCCTTCGCCCGTAAGAGAGTCTTAGTTTCTGTGTTCACCACAACAGAAGAAGAGCTTTCAGGTGTGACTGATATTGGGATGCCCCTGAAACAGCTGCTTTTCTGTAGTACAAGAGGAGCAAGTGAGTTCACGGTGATTGCCTCTATTCAGCCGGTGGAGATGGCCAGCCCATTTAAATCCAGCTTCAAGGGGCGTCTAATCCATCTCAGAAGATGTTCCTGGGGCCATTGATATATAAACAGCATGGAGTTTAGACCCCCAAGGAGGTTTGTCTAAAATCTGACAAGGATGGTACCAAAGCCAAGCATCTACCAGTGCCTTTTCGGAGGTCCTAACACTAGAAAGCTCTGTGATGTGGGTAGGGTCTAGGAGTCCTGCTGTCCAGTAGTAGCCAGTTGTGAACTTAGTGTTTCTAATCATAACATAGGATAATGCCAGAGTAGGGCAGAGCATGAAGCCACCAGAAACAGAAAGATTGGCTTCCCCCCCACCCCCACCCCCGTACACTGGGTTCCTGTTAATACACTGGCATCCTCCAAGGGCTATGACCAAAAGGGTCCCGTCCTACCACACTGGAAACTAGGGCTCAGCACTGGACACCTAGGGGTGACAACAGCCCCTTTGTGATTGTGAATCTAGCTTTCTTTTCATTTGTAAATGTCATACTGGGAAGACTAGGGAGCCCCCTTCTGGCTATAAAAATTGTCTTTGAACGTTCCGGGGCAAGACCTTTGTCTTCAGGTTAAATGTCTTTCAGGAAGCTTGTAAACTTTACTGAGAGACACTCACCGCCACAGACTCTGGGAACTTGCTGATTTAGAGGAATCCAGCATATAAACGAAGTTTCTGGAAATAGAGGGAATTACGTGACTCCTTGATTTTCTAAAAGATGCGATTGAGAAGGAGGGAGTAGCGGGAGGGAACGAATGCATGAGAATGGATAAAAAAATTGAATTTGTTTCTTCATTTCCCAGTTGTTGAAATGTGCAGAGGTGTGACATCTTAACAGCCTCTAAATTTTCAACTAGTAAATTGTATTTGGACCTTGTCGGAATCAAGATGTAGGCTAGAAATGGTACTAACTTCGGGGGGACTATCGGAGCAATGATTCTTCCCCTTGAGCAGGTCGAAGAGCTCCCAATTGTGGTTGCATCCCCGTCGTCCCACCAGAGTCAGGAATCCTCTTGGCCGGAGTGCTTGTTCAGGCTGGAACGCTCACTGCAGTCCCAAGCCATCGCCACCTTACAGTAGTGTAAAATGAAGCTTGTTTAAAAACTCTTTGATGGGTGAAGATCAAACGGCTCAGGGTCCCCTGTCTTAATCAGCCTTGAGCCAGGTGGCATCACAGGACTCTGGGTTTGCTGCTTCTGTGGACTTTGTGTTTAGCAAATTCATCAGCTTAATCCCGTTGAAGCCCTGGCCTGGGCGCAAATCCCTTCACACTACACCGCTGCTGTGGGTCCACAGTGTCAGTTCACGGGCAAATAAATCAGGATTAATTAGAAGGGGGAGAGCAGAAAGGAGGCACACAGGAAGATAACTCCGAGGGACCTGAGTCCTCACTGCTGCTCCGGCGGGAAGGAGCAATCCCGTTCCTCTTCTGCCCCCTGGTGGAATCCTATTAGAAGTTCTCTGGGGGACATTGTCTAGGGTCCACGTTGTATGTAATAACACCTCTCACATTGAACACTTTTCAAAGCTAAATATTCTCGCGCTCTTAATAGTCTGCGCAATATATTGCACACTGAAGAACCAGAATCTTCACAAAGTAGAATATATCAACACCGTAGTTTAAAGGCGAAGGAGCTGGGCTCTGGCACACAGGTTCACAGTACAGACATTTTTCCAGTTAGGTTTAAGTTGCACACCCCAGAATTTTGCATTCTTGGATTAAAAAAATGTTAGGCTTTTCAGATTATAAGTAGCACATTTCGGAGAATCCTGTGCTGGACATATTAGGAAAGCTCATACATCTATAACCATTTTCACGAAACATGTTGAAATATTAAAATGTTATTTGTTTTCATGAGAAAGCATTAGGGTTTAGGGTTAGAAAGTTCCTCCCCACTGAGCAGTGTTCATATTGGTGACAACCAGCTACCCTCTGATTGGGTTTCTTCTCAGTTTTCCAGGGTTCATATGGGAACTCTCCTTAACTTTTTTTTTCGCTCTTTTCTTCCTTCAATCCCTTCTCTCTTTCTCCTTTCTTTTTTCCTTTTATTGAAGGTGAAGCTTGAATTGTGGGACTTTGCTAATGGGTATATGAGTGAATTCATCGTTTGCTCCATATGTTGATTTTAGTTGAAAAACAGAGCTGCTACAGAGAAGCACTACTGTATAGAAAGCTGAAAAGGAGAAGTTGCAAAATGCAGAAAAAACTTTAAATAGGACTCAATAAAAAGAATTTTGTGTAGTGGTGGCTATCCTATATTACATACATGTGGTAGGTAAGTTTTGTCAGTTTGATTTGATTGAGAAGAACCTAAGAAATGAATAAAGGGTATTTATGAGTATATCTGTAAAAGTGTTTCCAGGTGCCGTTCCAATCAGAGGGCTCTGACCTTACGATTGGATTAATGATCTCTTCATGGATCTAAACTATGATGGAGTTATTAAGGAGATGGTAAATGCTGTCAGGCGAGACTCTCTTGGAGGAAGTAGGCACTGGAGCTGTCCTCAGGAGCTATATTTCACACTGGCCCCTTCAGGTGGTCTCTTGTCTGCCCTGCCTGGCTGTCCCGATGAGGACTGAGCTGCCTCACCACGTCTCTCCACTTCAACGGAGACATAAAGGTTTAATGATCGGAGACTTCGTCTCCCTCCTGTGCTGTTCACAGTAACAAGAAAAGTGACTAATCTAGTAAGGCACCTTTAAGGCTGAAAAAAACTAAGGGGCTCTGTAAATATTAGGCGATTCTTCTCTGATATATTGACTTATTGACTCCTATGAATGACTATGTGGGACTTTACTGAACTTTACATGCAATGTGATTGTGTGTGTGTGTGGGGGGGCGTGCAGCCATCTCCAGCCCTCCATTACCTCATTCACAAGCAGGAGTGTCAGAGAGCACTGCCCCTAAAATGGTGAATTAAAAAGAAAAGAATTTTTTTAAAGAACCAAGTTAGACCATTCTTAAAACTACAGTAGGACATCTGGGTGGATAATGGAAATGCGTGTTATTTTCCTTGTTCCCAAAGAAATAAAATTATTGGATTGCTGTATTCATACTCAAATGGCCTCGTCTTCGGATTGTTTCACTGTGTGAGAAAGTTTCTGGGTTGGATGGATATCTAGTGTTCATTAAGGGTCTTTCACGAACTGTTACTAGCAATGTACATCAGTGGGACAAAAGCAGCTGATTTGAGGAAATTCGTAGGCTAGCTTTAACCGGTTAGTCAGGTCCTTCAGCGAGGAGCAAAGGGAGGCACTAAGAGCATGCCTATCATTTCAGAGGGGTGAGTTTTCACATCCGCATTGTCCTCAAAATCTATTTATTAACAAATAACAAAATCTATTGTTAATCATGAAGTTTAGTGGGAGAATCAAGGAAGCTAGACTCTGGAAGTGCTTTACATATCAAATGTTTCTTATTGGATGTGGCGTCTCGTTTCTCTCTCCACACTGGATGGTCTGGTGCTATTTGCGCTGAATTTTTAGATATGAATCATTGAGTTACTCTTCTGTAATGCGATTTCATGAAAGATGCTTGGGTTGCAGGTGTTCTGTACATTGTTAAATAGTGACTAATTGGCATCTCGAGTGCAGTATTGATTACTACGTTCGTTCTATTTGTTGACTCATCTGGAATTAAACACAAATAAGTTCAAAAGTAATTATTTTTTTTATTTCAACTCTATAAAGTATCCAACAGGCACTCTGCAATTACAGCTGCAGGGAAAATACAGAGCAAATCAAAGCAGGTTAAGTTATGAAAAAGTTTTTAATCTACACCAAGAGAGTGCAAGTGGCCGACGACCATTGGATGACAGTTTGTTGCATTCTAACAAGAGACTCTTTCACGTAGCACAAACTGTAAGAGGACGGCCAAATAACCATAGCTGTAAGAATACAAAAGAACTGACCAGTTGTAAAAACATCATACGTTGAAATAAACTGGATAGATGATGCTTAAAGAAACATCTCTTTACTTAGAAAGCCCAACCTCTGAGTCATTGCCAAGGTCCCAGAGCTCTGTCTGTTGATGCAGGGGCCGAGAAGGAGGAGGGCTACCGACACACTTCCCGCGTTTTGCTTTCAAGGTCTCCTGAAAAGTTGCCTCATACCTGATTTGCATATACAAGAACTCAGAGAAAGCATCCTGTTTTGTTGAGGGGTGCACCAAGGTACATTTTCATCATTGGTTTCATAATGAGCTGTGGTGAGCAGTCATTTCCAATTTTTCTTTTGGATTGGACCATTGTTAATGGAATCTATAAAATGAGACACATTAGGATTTGACTGCACTACTTTTTTTTGTTTTTTACTGAGTCTGCACAGCTGAGCAAAACAGGAATACCTGTATACAGACTGATAGTATGTCATATAGTAATTTGACCTGCACATACATTTATACATTTCACAGAAATGACGCTGTATCTCATGAACAGACACACAGCTCTGGTACACTTAACAGAAATAAGATAACAACTTCATCATTTCTGTAATTCATCAATATTATATAATAAAGGCTTATAAATTGTTAGCAGAAAGAACTGTAAAACGCAGCAAGCTAAGAAAGGACAACATTTTGAGGTGTGTTTGTCTTTGTCATGCAGCATAACACCAAATTTGTTTTCTTAATAAGATGCCATGAGGTTAAGGCACTTGCAACAATGCCAGATAGCCAGGTCATGTTCTAAACTATGGGACCCATGAGTGACAGTAGAGCTGACAGAAGTTTCAATAATACTAACAATTATGACGTTCATTCAAGTCTACTTGGACCTAGAACATTATTTAATACAAATAAAATGAAATCATAATGCTGTGAAACACTAAAAAAAGTTATATGTACCACAAAATATCACCCAAAATATCTATTTACATAAATATTTGTTGTGGTCCTATTGTGAAAGAAAACATTGTGGGAAATGCACAGATACCTCTATTGTATAAAGTTGGGGTTAATACCCTTGTGTTCAGTATGGTAGCTGACTTCTTTAGCTTCACCATCAGGTCTATCATTTGGAAGCAAAGTGAGAACGAGTCAGTAGTTGCAATATTATTCTCCATGTGCAATTCACATGTATGTTCTCCAATTTTAAGAAAAAAAGCTATGACTTGTGAGGATTATAATAAAAATAAACTTGGTTTAAATGCTACATGAATCTGATTCACATCCAAATAATAAAGATCCTAAGTATAAAAATCAACTATAACGATTTCCAAAACTCATTTTCTCTAATGTCTTCAGTCTAATTAAATATTGTTATGTCCTTTCCTTGGCAGTTTTCAGTTTTTCTGTGATTTAAGACACACAGAAAGCCCTATTTCCCATACACAAAAGTATCACCAAGAAAGTCAGTGAGCAAATCAAACAAGTTGGCACTATTCTAGTTTATCCAGATGGTCTTTAGTGCAAGAAAAGAAAAAAAGAAAAAGAAAAAAAGAAAAACTGGGGGCATGGAAAAGTCCAGAAAGTAAAATGTGGTTTATGAAGCTGGCCATGAGTTATAGCCCTAGTGTCTTGATTAAGACAAGATTTAAATCCTTAAAATTCAATGTTGAAAATCTGATGGATGTTTTCTGTTAGTTATTCCTGGAAGCTAGAGTTCACTTTTATCTTTTGTGATCGTGTTGGCCATCCTAATAAAAGCTGTGGATGAAATGAACAAAGGTGTATCACAAGTGGAAAACAGCCCACAGTCACACTGTGCTGAAAGCAATGCCTTTCCTCATCATAGAACCCATGTATTCGCGCAAGTTGTCTTAGCCTCAAACCCAAGTCCCAAAATACATGGTCCGTGCAAATTCCTGGGGATTTGTGGATATTTGAAAAATTAGAGAGACAATTCCCTTTCTAATAACAAGGTAAATGTAACATCCTAGCAAGCCTTTAACATACCTAAGACACATTATCTTGCAAAAAAATCAAACATTGATTATAATGTTGTAATTATGTGTTTTTTAAAAAATCAGTTAAAAGATAAATAAGCTTCTAGGAATCACTGAATTTTAGCCAGATGTGTTTGATTTTATATTATTTAGTCTGTTGAAATTCACAGATCTTTTGGGTACTCTAGTAATCTTGAAAAATTGTTTATGAGGGAGAGGATTCCAATAACATAATAATAATATCAGGATGAAAGTTTTAATTGAACTTTACCCTAAATTAAATGTACTTCTAGTAGTTTTAGGCCTCAAATGTTTTAGAGTATTATATTTTGATAGGAAAAGCACATTTGAAAGTAGTTTTGAGTATGAAATTTCAAAGAAAACTCCTGTGATTTATTGGTTAGTCTGTGATGACCTAATGGAAAGATTTCTATAGGAATTTCTACATTAAAAAAAAAACCCTACTGAAAAAATAGCAAACAACCATTAATACACATTTCCATATCAGGATGCCATCGTGGACGGTTGTACATTTATCAGTATGAGAAAAATGCTACCAACCAATAAAGCTTCTGGAGGATTCTGCCTATTGATAACAGAGGTCAACTGCCCTGCCAACAACATACTTGGTTTAATTGGATGATCTTTTCTTCGTATGAAAAAGACAGTTAGCTTGACATTTTCAAATTTTGTCTTCTCTAGCTTATGTGAAATTCCAAGGTTGTAACACTTCTGCACTATTTAGATAAAATGCAGGTTGGAGAAATCATCTGTGTTCCTCTCTAACCCCTTCTAACTTTGATAAACTTATCCAAGGAAAGGTCCTCAACTCCTGGCCCAGTTTGGTTTTCCTCCTCAAATAAACAAAGCTCCTTAGTATAGTTGTAATACCATTGACTTGGGACTTTCAGACTGTATATACAGTGTTTTGGTTCAGGCCTAAGACAAGAGACTAGTTTAAATACATTTTTTAAATATCCTTTCTCTCTGAGCCCTGGACTGTGCTGTGACATCTGACGGGAGTTTGTTTCTAATAAAGTTATGAAAATGCTTGAGTCTCTGGCTAGACATGATGGTTAGAATCTGTGTCGTCCATTCAGACACTGACATTACAGATGAAAGATAGACATAGCACCTTTTCATGTTTATTTTTTTGGATGGGTCTTCATTCCTCCCCACCCTATCCCACCCCTACCCTAAGGGGTTATTCTTATAAAAAGGGAATATTTTAAGCCTCAGTTTGAGGGTGTTAGGTAATAAATAAAACCAATTGGCTGCTAGTCATTTCCAGGACCATCTTTAAGCACAATAGATATAGTTTTTAAAGATATGAAATGGTATTGTGAATTCTTTTCCCCCTCCACTTTGTCTTGCCAATTTCTCAATTACCATGCCCATTTTCAATCCTCCAAAACTGCATCTGTACCCGCCGTGGGAGGCCCGTACAGAACCATAGCGGTTGTGCTTTTTGTATCAGGCCAACTTTTAGAATCTATCAGAAAAGAAAGGTAACATTCAGTCTCGTCATCTGCTAGGAAAGAAACTGGTTTGACATGACCTCTGTGACCCACGGATGTGTGGTCCTCTTTGTACGATGTCTATACTGGCTTGAAGTCACAGGCTCCACTCCCTTCCCTTGATGAAAGGGAAGAGCCCAGGTTTTCTGTACCACAGTCATCTATCGTACCGAATATATTATTCTCTATTCTTGGTAGTTCTAGCAAGATACAGACTCTTCTACTGGATGGAAGTGTTTCCTACACTCTTTCAAAATATAATCAGAGCAAAGCAAGGCCATTGCAACAATAGAAAACATCACTTTACTGGTAAAAGGCTTTGCTTCAGGACCACCATGTCAACTGTTATTGTAGGTTCAAACATAAAACATGGAAAGAGCACTATCATAATCTAAGCAATGAGTCCTAATGCCACTGTAGTTACTGGAGCAGCATCAATCAAAGGCATCATGGTGACCCCGAGCACTAATCTTCTCTCTTTCCCTCAGGTTTGCTGGCAGCCGTGTCTCAGAAAAAAGCTGTCTTCAGCAAGGCAGAAGCAGGTAAGAGAAATACATTAGAAGTCTATGTCCCAGCCTGAGTTGTCGTCAGGGGGTGGCTCGTCACTGTCCTCAGGGAAGCTGTCGAAATTGCTTGTGTCTGTGGGTGATGCAACCTGCAACGGGAGAGAATGAGAAAAAGGTGTTTTGCTATTTTGGGTAGAATTGTGAGCTAGAGATTTTATTTTCCATCATTAAAAAGAATAGTTATTCATGCATTCTTTAAACAGATGCACAAAAACAAAATCTGTATATGCTGATGGATAATGAGATCAATGTGTGCCTTCGGTAATATTTAGATCAGATTCAATGTGTCTGTCTCCTGGACATTTTTCCTTATGAGGACTTTGAACATACTTTTTTCTAGTTCTTGAAATGTAAAGTTCCTCGTTATTATTGTCTTCTGTCACTCTGCTCCAGTGCAATCGTATGCCACTGCTTTCTGCTCCTGTCTAACTTGGTAGCTAAAGTGAGTCTTTCTCCACTCTTCTGCGATCCCTAGGTTCTCCAGCCTCTGGTGAGCAAAATTCTAATCGCAACCTTCGAAAGAGCAACATGCACAGGGGACTGACTGTGTACTCCTTTTGACTTCTCTGTGCTCAAATCACTCAATTTGTGAACGTGATCTTCATTCCTCTCCACGGTGTTACAAATGACAGGATTTCAGTCTGCCTATGGGAGGGTGGCATTTTATCATGCAAACCTATACACGTTTGTTTTTGTTTGTCTTTTGTTTTCTGTCCTGGAACTAGCTCTTGTAGATCTACCTCTGGCACCCAAGTGCTGGGATTAAAGACCTGCTCCTCCACCGCCCGACTGCAACTGCTTTTAAAGGGGCTTGGTGTTTGTATACAGGGCATTGCAGCGGCCATGCAGCGCATGATGTAATGACTGTAGGCTGGCTAAGTCTTTGCCTTGAATGCTGACAAGTGCATGTGCGGCCGTGGGACCCTGGGCTAGCTAGGCATTCCCCTGCATATTGACAGGTGCATCTTGCCAGGTGACAGGGAGGCAGGCCAGCATGATGCCCGAAGGCTAACAGGTAGAGCACACACCGAGTTCCTAAGAGGGCTCTATGTTCTGAAGCTAACTGGCCATCATGACTGGTGCACAAAAGAGGAGAGTGGAATGGGGTAAAAACAGCAAAGGAGGCAGAAGCCAGGATATGGGTCCTGGAAGGCCATATTATGGATTTTGTATGTTATTTTATTTTGTTTTTTGAGACTTTTTTTTCGTTATTTTTTAAAAGTATAATGAAAACATTCTAAGAAATATGTTTATTCTAAGTGTAATGGAAGCTTAGAGGTTTGTTCTAAACTTGAGCACAATTCTTCCATATTTGCTGGCTAAGTGTCATCTTCAGGGCACCAAACTCTTCTAACTATCCCTACTATATAAAAGTCATCCCTATAAATTTGGGTGAGAAAAATTTACATTAACTATTTGGGCTCTTTTTATTCTACCCTTACTCTAAAGACAAAACCCGTGAATGTAATTGGGGTCGGTGATATGCACTTTATTTTGTTTCCTGAATTTAAAAAGAAAGCAATCAACAAAGAAATAAATCTCAGAAGGACAGTGTTTCTATATACAAAGTCTATTGAGTTAATCCCAAAGAACTGGAGCATATAAACAAAATTCACAGGACCATAATAAATCTGTCCCTTCCTTTTTTTTTTTTTCTTAAAAAAAAAAAAACACAGCACGCTGTATTTAGCAGGGGCAGTGCACCGCTTTCAGTTGGAATCTATTTTAGTTTAATATGGTGTGTACAATTCACACAGTGAACTAGCTATTTAACAGCATTGCCCCTGCCCCAAATCAACTGTACTAAAAAAGAGAATCACCTTTCAGATACTAATAGAAGGAGGAAAGAACATACGGCTTCCAACTCATGCTAGGGTAGGTGTAGACATGTGAGTGAGACAACGCTGAAAACGGTTGCTGTAAATTCTATATCCTCTTAGCTACAAACACATTTATAACATGTACCATAACAACAGCTAACTTGTTTTCATGGATAAAGGGCACTTGAGTTTCAATGAAGAATTTAAAAAGATAAAGATACATCATACGCATAATAACCATCCACAGATTTGTTGGTATTATGTTTGGATTTCAGAATAGACCATCATTTTAATATGGTGCTTCATAGCTTTTATAATTGGATCATAAAAGTCTAAAAAGATCAAGTCTTTGTTGATTGAAAAATGCCATCAGGTGTGTACCGTTTATTAACTAAAAAGTCTACTTACACTTGGAATTATGGGAGGCGTCAAGGTGCCTTTTCTTAAGCCTTCCCAATTAAAGCCTTCAAACCATCTAAGAAGCAAAAATAAAGACAAGTAAGACATTGCATCTCTGTTACATATTCACACTACAGCATATTTGATATAACTGATACGTAGAAGGGTCTCATGTAGTCTAAGATCCCTCAAACCTACTCTGTAGGTGACGATGACTTTGAACTACTGATCCTCCTGCCTCCAGTTCCCAAATTACAGATGTGTGCTGCCACATACGGCTCAGAATGTTTTCAATGACCTTATTTTATAAAATGTAAAAAAACTATTAATTTTTTTAAACATAATTTTTGTCAAATTATTAAAATATTTTAAAATCATCGTATCTAAAGATTTTAAAAATATTTATACTTAAGGTTTAATTGCCAAATTCACACACCAATTTATCATGCAACTGTTTTGCAATTTCAGTTTTGTCTGTATGTCTAAGTTCTCGCGCTATCTTAATTTAATACATGTCATAATGTGCTTTTCTCTGTGCACCACAAACACTTTCCATCTTTGCCAGTGAATCAATCTGCCAGTTACAGCGGGGGTGGACGATCAAAGACCAGCTCCACACTGGCACTTGTCACAGCCTGAAGTAGTCTTTCAGAGGTCTCGGCTCAGGCAAAAATGGGATCCTTGACTTGGTTGCAGAAAATAATTTCAGGATGAGCCAGTATGGGGCAGAGTTAAAACTGGTTAAGAAAGTATTTTAACATAGATTTCAGCCTTGGGGCTTGCTAGAAAGAGAAACACTTGCAAAGAGTAAGACTCACCCAAGTAAGCCATGAGCTTCTAAAGAGAGGGTAAGCTATGTGTGCTGGAAATAGCCATATATATGATTTTTGTGGCTCAAATTGTACCTCAAAAGTCAGATAAGAAATATTCTCTCATCCCCCTTTTTTGGTAAATCAGAATATAGTGTGACTTCATAGGTCCCTTGGATACGGTTGTAATCTGAGTGGAGTCTGAAGGAAAATTCCAGGCAGATCACCAAGACTCTTTCCATTGACCAGCCTGTCAGCCACCATACCTGCTATTTAACCCCAAACCACCTAGATCTGGCAGGGGACAATAGACAGGTCTCCTCAGACCTCTTCTTCCTACACTCCTGCCTTGATAGGAGTCCCTTTATCCACTGCACCAAATGGAATATAACCTATAACTCCATGTAGGTTCCCTCAGACCCATTCTGCCTGTGTATGAGTCACCTAACCCACCACTGCATCTTGGCATCATATTGAATCTAACCAGAAATTTCTGGTATGCCCCTCAAAACTATTCCACTCTCCTGCCTACCTACCACCCATGCATCCAGTCTGATTCTACTTCTGGAACCACGCTAGGTTCCATAGTGCATCTTGGCACCCATGTTCATATTAGCCACCCTACTTACTGCTACCATACAGTGCAGAGTTGGATCTGAATTTTAGGTAGGTCCCTTAGGCCCATTTCCCACAACTCCCTGCTTATTATCCAACTGTCATACCCACCTTCCTCCCCTGGTCCAGTATGGAGTTTGACCTGGAATTCCAGGTAGAAACTTCCAAAGACGGTCTGCCATGCCACCTACCAGGACACCCTAGGATCATAACATCTTGTGTCCCTGCCTCTAGATAAGGATACCCATCCTGGCTTCCACAACACCTTGAAGATGGTGTGTTGTTATCCATCACACCCCTACATTGCACTGCCTACTCTAACTGCGACTCCAGGTCCTCCAACCCAACTAGCACTTGCAGAACTCGATGAGGTTGCCACAACGGAAGACTGGCAAAGAAATTCTTCTCAGTCCACAGAAGGTTCACTCATAGACTCAGAAGTTGCATTCTCACTTGCTGAGATTACTTCTGAAACCCCATTCACACTACAACAGAGTGGCCCCAAGATTGAAGACGAAGAACCATTCAGTTGGTCCATAACCTAGCATGTTATGGTAAGAGCAAACTGAGATCCAAATACCACTCCACCAAGATGAGATGAAATAGTCACAACCCAAACTGCCAAATATCTAACTCCAGATACCTAGGCTCCACTGGGGAAAAAAAAAACCGACAAATAAAATACATTCAAGGAACTCAGAGGGGTTCTGAACAAATGCCTAGATGGGGAGCCTGAAACTACAAACAGCTGAGCAAAGTGAAGAAAACGAACCAAGATATGAACATTAAATAAAAAGGATAGATCCTTTGAAGAAAAGCCACAATGATATAACAAGATGAAACAGGGAGCTAAACAGAAAGGTCATGGGAAAGTCTCAGCAACTGATTGCATCAAGTAGAAGAAATAATAATATCAGGTCTTCAAAAAAAGATTTTTTTTTCAAGGCAGTGTTTCACTGTGTAGCCTAGGCTGTCCTGGAACTAGATCTGTAGACCAAGCTGGCCTTGAACTCACAGAGGTCTATCTGCCTCTGCCTCCCCAGTGCTGAGATTAAAGACAGGTGCCAGCACTACCCAGCAATATCAGGTCTTGAAGATAAGCTAGAGGAAATGGATCACTCAGTCAAAGAAACTGTTAAATATAAATTCTCTGTCTCTCTCTTTCTCTCTCTCTCTCTCTCTCTCTCTCTCTCTCTCTCTCTTTCTCTCTCTCTCTCTCTCTCTCTCTCTCTCTCTCACACACACACACACACACACACACACACACACACACACATGAACAAAACACTTAGGAAATCTGATACACTATAAAAAGACCAAAGATACAAATTTAGGTGTAGATGAAGAAACCCAGGTCAAAGGCACTAAATAGATTTTCAATAAAATCATAGAAGAATCTAAGGAAAGAGATGCCCATTAAAGGGCAGGAGGCACGAAGAGCCCCACATAGACAAAACCAGAAAGAACCTCTCCATGTCACATAATAACCAGCATACTAATTTTTTTTTGGCAAGACATGACAGGACAAAGAAAGAGAACTGAGAATATCAGGCAGAAGAAAAAGTCATTCCTAAAGACAAGCCCGACAGAACAATACTGGCCTTTTCAGTGGAGACTTCCAAAGCAGAAGGGCCTGGACCGATGTTCTACAAGTGCTAGACCACAGATACCAGCCCAAACTAGTCCTACCCTCCCAAGGGAATTACGGACTTTCAGCTCTAATGATGGATGCCTTTACAGGCGGCATTGCCCTAGTTTTCTTAAGCAAAAGCCTTCAGTCAACATTGAAGTGCCCCAGAAAACTCCAGACAGGTTAAAAATGTCAATTTTCTTTTCATTATTGGGGCTTTGTTCTTTGCCTTAATCAACAACTTAGGACTACTTACTAACTGGACTTGTATGGTGTTGAGAAGGATGCCCCTAAGCCACAGGGATTCTTATCAGCCCCAGCACTGGGAAGTTTTCATTTAGAAAAGCCTTGTGTCTTCTACGTAGCAGAGTAAGACAGCGTGAGGACTCTTCACTTAAACACTAGGGGACACTTGCAGCTTGCTTCTGCAGCTGGTTCCTACAGTGTGTGAATAGCTAAGATGCTCACAAGCGGTAGGGGTTGTGACAATGCTTGTAGATTATAAACAGATGCGGCTCTAATACACCTGTCCCAGAACCAAATATAAGTTCACCCCATAGCAAAGCAGAGAAAGCGCGGGCCACAGACTTGACTGGAAATGCCTGGTAAACTCAAGGCAACAGAAAACTCTTGTTCAAACTGTTAAGAAGAAAAGTACTCAGGGACTTCGTGATTCACGCCCCCCGGAAAGAAAGGCATTAACTGCTCTTGTCACTTATGTCTTTGGAGCTAAAGGATCATAAAGTCTATAATCCAAACAGCCACAATGTCCTGTCTGTTTTACCTCCATAATCGCTAAGGAGGTGGAACTAAGCACCTTTCCTTAACTCCTTACAAAGGGCCGGTATGTTCAGAGAAAGAGATTGACAACGAGATCTTACTCAAACGCTTCCCTGTCAAGAATGTATTTCCCACGTGTGCTGTCCAGCTTCACACGGTGGATAGAGATCTAATCACACACAGGCTGAGAGTACTCATAATGCCATATATTCTATAAAAAATTGTCCCTCCTGAGACTCCCTAGCTTCAATGATATCCCGAGAACATTCCACTTAAAGCTGTAAATTCTGTAAAGCTCTAAAAATTCTCTTCAAACAAGAAATAATAAATAAATGAGACATCTTAATATCAATCTTCCTAAATGCAAAGATAAATCCCCCTTACAAATTTGGCATTTTGTCGTTTTTGAAGACACAGTTAGCATATTTAATCAATGGTCTAAACCTCACACTGTTTTTTTTTTTTTTTTTTTTTTTTTTGTAATGTATTTTACACTGGATTCCTTCTTGGAATTGTTCTTTTATGCTTGACCATATTCTCAGTATATAACTATCAGTAGGTTCTATGGCAGCCCAAGGGTTCTGGCTTTGAAATTCAAAAGGTATCCTTGAGGAGCTGGAGGGGGAAATTTAGGATGGATATGATCATATTTCATTGTGTACATATATGAATTTCTTAAAGACTACATTTTTTTTTGAAAAGATGATAAGGAAGGTGACCCTCAATATTCTGATAGCAGCACATGGAGAGCCCACACCCTTCATTATTAGAGTGGAGCATATATATCTGATAGGTCAGGCTTTGTGTTGTATCCTCAGTCCAATCTAGGTCAGAATCTGACTTAAGTTTCAATCAGTTACTAGCATCTTGATTGTCAGGTATCTCATGAATAAAGAGGCACTGTTGTTTTTCTTGCTAACATTAAATATAACAATCTATGTTATACTTTCTCATTTATATGTTTGCTGTCCCAGGTCACCATACTGCCCCTTATAGATTTCCATGGGATGAGGATCCTCCAGGGTCCAAACTCAGACATTCTTATCTCATTTTCAGGTATCATAGGTTGAGACTTTAGCTGTCTGGATGCTTAATGTTGGCATCCCTGTTCAGAGCAAAGACCTTTTAAAATATAGACCTTTGAGCATTATCCACCACTAAGTTTAAGGGATCAAAGTCTGGGGGGGGGGAGAGGGGGGGAACTAAGGTAAGACTGGAAGAGAAGATTGAGAGGGCATGAGAAGGAGAAGTAACACTTCACTCCAGAGTCTGGTCATAGCTTCTGGTTAGATCAGAGTCGAGAACCATTTGCTATGAAGATTACCTACATAGACACAATGTTACTGTTACACAGAGCTGTTAAAACAAGGAATCTGCTTAAGGCTTAAGTGTACATGACCTTTCTTCTTTCCCACTTGTAAGCCTACGATTCTCTAGGACTCTCACTAGAAAGCCCATGATCATCTGTCCTGTTGCAGAAGCACAGGCTTTATTAAAATTAATAAAAAGGAAGGCATTGTGGAGGCCTAAAGAGGCCAAAGGTCAGAGAGTTTTGGGACTTGTTTTTAGTTCGAGGTTATTGTGCTTTAACTCAAAGTTCTCACCTAGTTGTAAATCAGAGTTCTGCTCTCCCAAGGCTATTGTAAACAGGTGTGGCTAGTTGCCAGACAACCTTGATCCTGAATTAGGGAAGTAGCTGGTCCCTACCTAAAACAAAAACCTAAGGAACTAACTAGGTTCTTGTTCCCTTTATGGAAATAACTTGGAATTCCACCCAGGGAGTGATTTGCCTAGAGAATGTTTGGTCTGAGTCAAGGGCATGAATGTGCTCCACGACTTTCAATTTTTGTTCTACTCCTACCTTTTGATATCAGGGGCATATTAAGCTGTTGGAAATTAAACACGGGTGAATTTTCAGGACTCACTGAAATTCCCTCACAATACAAAAAAAAGTCTTAATCCCTCTTTGCAACCCTAGTAACTCAACCCTGGTAAGTTTTATCTTATCCCAGTTATTTCAAGAGCCACCTCATATTCTCATTTGAAAAAATTTAGGGAAAAATTAGCAAAAAAGAAAACAAAGATATTCCTAGCAACCTTTGAAGCTATCACTTGGTAGCCATCAAAATTGAACCCATGGCTCTTGCTAAGACACCCGAGTGTGGCACCGTTGAGAAAGCCTACATCCATACTTGGGTATGTCTTTCTGAATGCTTACATTAGAAATCCCTTCCTAATAACTTCAACTCTGCTTCATCTTGGGCTGACCTGAAACGCAGGGCTCTCCTTAGTGAAGTCAAGAATCCCATTTTGGCCTGAGTAGAGAAAGCCTAAGAAAGAGCTTCAGCTACTCTAAGAGGGACATGGGGCTGTGTCCCTGTCTCCTACTCCCGCTGCCGTCCATGATTAGAAACCTCTTTATGTAGCTCTATCTCTAGATTTGACCTTTAATTAAAAAAATAGGGTATGATTTAGGGAGCAATTTTGCTTTCCTCATGCAGCAGAAAACAAAGTTTAGAAATATACACGTTTTGCTTTGTTCCAAGGGGCACAACAAATAAATACTGGTTAGTGTTAATGGAGAGAAACTGAGTCAATAGATTGCTGCATAGAAATGAATAAGTTCCCAGGTACACATAGAAAAGATTAGAAAAAACTGAATGTTCTGACCAATAACTAAAAACTTCCACTCTGGGGAAATTTGATATGTTTTTTTGAATTACATTAAAAAAATAACTTACTTGTGTTTTTGAATGTCTTTCACTCCGTTTTTCAAATTTCCTAACCTTTCTGATGGGTTGTCCCTGAAAATGAAATAATCGTCATGTGAAAAAAAGCCGGATACTTCCGCATTATGATTCTTTTCAAACGATGCACTTCAGATACTTACCTGCATAGTTTTTTAATTAAGTTAGCAGCATTTTTTGCAATCTTCTTTGGAAATTCTATCATGTCAATCCCCCGCAGGATGATGTTATAGGTTTTCATCGGGTCTGGGCCTGAGAAAGGTGGGCTGCCAGGAAGAAGACAGAAAGAGACAGGGCTTTTTACTCACGGAATAGGAGTTAGAAAGGTGTTACTGCCACACGCAGGACGTCAGCTTTTATGTGGAGGGGAACTGCCTCAGTTACGGCACTGGAATGAGACACGCATTATGCTAGCCACAACAGAATGCGAGTTAGAAAATAATCAAGCATTGTAGAAGGCTTCCCGGGCCGCTCTTTCACAAAACCCCTGCTGGATGCGGCTTGTGCAACGGTCCCTCTCACGCCCTTGTTAGTGACTGTGCTGTCTCCCGAACTCCACATCGCCTCAAGGGTGCCACTTGGGTGATTATCATACACTCGACAAATTCTTTCTTCAGAAGCTACTTTCTGGGTTTATACCTCTTTGGGGAATAAATCTTAAGAATGATTTTATTTTATTTATTTTAATAGGAGCTCATATTCTTCACTTTTAGGCTTCTCTTATTTGTGAGTGTCTTTCTATTTACTTTAGTATATTATTAGCTAGGGATTGCGGCTTTACTTGCCATTCAAATGGATACATATGTGATTCTGTTTAATCTCTTACTGTCTGCACTTTCTGTGGTATTAGAATGGGATATCCTTTTTTCATTGATTTTTACTGAGCTCTACATTTTTCTCTGCTCCCTTCTTTGCCTCTCCCTCCCCTTCAACCCTCTTCCAAGGTCCCCATGCTCCCAATTTACTCAGGAGATCGTGGAATGTCCTTTTTATTTTTTTGAGTTAACTTGCCAGTTTTGATCTTGTTTCAAAAATAAAGACTCAAATACTTAGTCTTTTTGTGATTAGTTTAGCACTTTTTGGGGGGTTGGGTTATTTCTCTGTGTTACAGTCCTAGTTCTTGTTTATCAGGTTGCTTTGAACTCACAGAGATCCCCCGGCCTGGGATTAAAGGTATAAAATCCCAAGTGCTGGAATTAAAGCCATGTGACACCACTGCCCGCTTAAAAACTTTTTTATTTTTTATTTTTTAAATTTAACACTTTCTAGCTGGCGCTTTTCACATTTGTGTTTATTTTAGACAGCCAAGTAATTTATTAGAGATGCCTTTGTGTATTTTAAAGATGATGCATGCCTAATCTACACTAAGATATTCATAACACTATGAAATGTTATTTAGTAGAAAATAGCTATATAATGCCCCAAATATTAATAAGCAACATTTGATGAACATGACTTCATAAAATTATTTGTCTGCACAGGCACAGACAGGATTATACTGTATATCTTTTTTAAAATGCAGATGTGTTCAACTTAATTTTGCTTCAAGCAGGAGTTATAAGTTATAAGCTTTGAATATGTATTTTTTAACAACAATATCAATTTCTAAAATATTGTTCTAAAATAAAGGAAAGATATCTGAACTTTGAGTTTTGTAATGTCATGCTTCAATTATTAAAAATATTTGAGATCATTAATTTTGAATGATGAGAAATAAATGTATCTATAGCTTTCCTTCCATGTTTACTGACATTGGTATTAAAATGGTCGAAGAATATAGTATTTACACTCTCTTCAATAACATTTAAAATATTTCGTCTAAATTCTAATCAATCATATTAAACACAACAACACCCCATTTGCCAGTTTCTCTGTTGCAGAGACTCTCACAGATTCACTCTTTTACTGACTTTACCAGTCAGTGTTTGTGAGAAAGGCCTCCGTGAACAATATCTATGTCATGTTTTAAGTATAGGAATAGCTTTTCATGTAAACTACCCTGGCTAAATTCTTTTCTTCCTTGGGACTACATGGTTATTGGGAAGCCATCTTTCAACATTAAAGGTGATAAAGAGAAGCTGGACCTAACTGCATCCCTAATCCTCTCATGGCCAGCACCATGCATGCATCACGTATTTGTGCCTCTGATATCAATTCCTCAGCACCGAGTTTAGAAAATTGGCTTCAGATACATCATGGTGTTGTTGCTCCGAGCATTCTGCCAATGGTAACACCTAATAGTGGAGATTTCTGAATCATCGGTTACTCTTATCTTTCAATTTTCTTTGAGGAAAGCCATGCTTAAAATGTTCCCTCTCTCTTCATCTACATTCTAATCTTCCTGCAAGGCCTAGGCAGTCTTAGCCTTACATTGTACAGAATTATATTGTACAGAAGCCTTCTGAACTCCACAGGTCGAGCTGACCCCGGGTTACTCAACGTCTTTAGCACGTACCACGGTGGGACATTCATTTTTCTTACAGTAGTATTGCTTGGGGAACTCGTAGCCTGTCTTATGTCCTTCGGTATTCCTAATGACTGTTGGTTATAATATTATGATGAACAAATAGCTGACATTTTAGCTATTTCAATACAAAGACTATAAGCCAGTCCTCTTATTTCCAAGGAAATCTGTCCATAGGATTATTTATATGATTATCATTTCTTGTACTGTATGGTCAGCTAAATGACCAGTGTAACAAATCCCAAGAAAACTTGATCTCTCTCTATTATATACACACACAAGCACACACACACACACACACTCATACATATACACATGATAGCAGCAATGACAAGATTAAAGTTGGTGTTGAATTGTTTGCACTCAAGTGATCTATTTTGCTGCTTTCTTTATGAATATGTGACTATTTGCAATAATAACTGAAGTTGAGTTCCATGGTATAGTGAGGTACACTGAAGATCATGTACTCAGAGTGCAAAAACAGGAGTGCACAGCTGTCTGAGGCCTCTTGTTCACAGTTCCCTGGAAATGTCCATACCTGCCAGTCAGAAGCTCATACATTAGGATTCCTAGCGACCAATAGTCAGCTGAAATGTCATGACCTTTGTTCAGGATGATCTCTGGGGCTACGTATTCTGGAGTCCCACAAAAAGTCCATGTTTTCTTTCCAAATCCTATTTTCTTTGCAAAGCCAAAGTCAACCTTATGAAGAGAGAAAGCAAGACACTTAAGCTATTTATGATCAAGCTGTAGAAAAATATGTATTTAGCTGAGCACATTGATAATACCAAAAAAAAGTCTTTACAGTCCTGTTTTCTGAAAGGAATCATGTGTGTTGCAAACACAGATGCCCTGTTCAAATTCTGTTCCAATGAGAAAAGGGAAACCTGAACCTAGATACAATTAAAACCATTAAAAGAAAAGCCTGTTTCTAGAAACACATTTTCATCTTTTCTATGACCTTCCCTCCCCCCGAATATTGGCTGTGGAATAAAGAAAGAATTTCTCCTTTAAAGAGGTGGAGATACAGGTGGGCCATTATAAAAGTTCTCCTAGAATATGCATGCTATCTTCTGATGTATGAAGTCGACAGCTCCAGTATTGAATATATGACAAGAAGGTTTACTGTTGAAGGAGCACAATTAAGAGAGCAATATTCTACTCCTGGTAAACAAGTAGATAAAACAAAAATCTATCCTCTTTTTGTGAACGTATTGGAGGCGCTACAAATACAGAAAACCTCCTTTTTGCAAAGTGATTTGGTTTAGATTCAAATAGTTACATGCTGTTGATACAGATGTATCTAAAGCCCATGCCTGGGTAACAATTCCAAAAGTTTACAACTAGAACCAGGTACCAATGGGTTCAAAGCCCATGAAAGATAGACAATTTTAAATAAAAGAGCTTCTCTTATACAGTAGCCTCTCTTGCCCAGTAGTTAGTGTTATCACTGTGAACACAACTTAGATAATATTACCTCAGAACTCATTCCTCAAGACATTATTCTTAAATATCAAATACTAAAACGTCCACGGTCTTGTGTAACACTAATTTTCACTGCATTTAGATGCAGAAAGCAGGCTAGAAATACAGAACGGTATGTATAAGTGCTTTCAGGTCTATGAATACATGCTAACAATGGCATTTTCTAGAAGCTGTTAGGACACACGCTTTGTGGGGCTATTATTAATTCAAATGTAGCCAAATTAATTTCTCATAAAACTTTACATAATTTGAGATACATTGTAATAGGAAACTATGGTATTCACACTGCTTTCAAGAAGTTATAACACTGAAATGGAAAGGATTTTGTGTTAACAAATGAACAAGAGTACGTTAGAACCCCAGGACACAACTGTTGTGTGAAACACACTGACCAGCTTGGCGTAACCTCGGTGATCTAGGATCAGATTTTCTGGCTTGAGGTCCCTGTAAATGATTCCTTTGGAATGCAGATAGGCAAATGCTTCTACCACACACGCTGTGTAAAATCTGGTTGTCGAATCTTCAAACGAACCCCTGAAAATGGAAAACACGATAAACAGTGTATGAGAAATTCATTCTCTAGAAAACTGATTCGTGTGTATGTGAGTTCATTATATTTCTGCAGCAAAGTTGGCACAGAGGCCGAGGTCTAACTGGCTCCATATTACATGATTTTCATTCCATTAGAAGGATTGTTTTATTGGCCCCTATGAGTGGGACAGTTAAATCTGACTTCCTGGAAGGCTCAGGAAAGGATCAGTAACATTAAGTTTCATGGACTTTGTGGCTTCCTCTAAAGAACCCACTGCTATATAAAAAGCAGAGTCCCAGCCGTGGGAAGAAGAAGAGTCCTATATTAGCACTTGTATGCTATTGCTTTGCAAATGAGAGGTTATTTTGATTAATTAATTATTATTTATTCTTTTTACTTGGGATCAAACCCAGTTAGTTTTATATATATGCATGTATATACACTTGCCAAGTCCTATACCATCTAGCTGTATCTCTAGTCCAAAGAAGTCATATTAAATAGTCACCTTCCATAATAAGCCTATATATATAATTAATACACGATTTAAATATATGGATTTTTCATGGTTACTTTTAGCAAATTTATATATGAATCTTTCTAAAGAGTGTAGATAGAGTTCTTGTGCATGTGAAAAGGAAAGAGACCAATGTTTACAGAGCCACACCATGGGGCTGCAACACTGCCAACCTTCTCACCTGCTCTATGTTAGGTCTCTGAAGCCTCTGCCACCAAGACAGTGTCTACCTCCTACACCATTGCCTTCTTATCAGTAGGAAGACATGGAACTAACACACAACTAGAAGAAAAAGTGCCGGGAAGGAACTGTTAAATTCCAACATTTAACAAGAAAGTATTTTCTCTGTCTCTCTGCTTCCTGTCTTTCTCAGTTTCATCTGTATGTGTATGTGTTTATATATACACATGTTTTATTGATTAAAATAATAATAAAAGAGAGCTCTAAGGTCATTCCTTGTCTCTAAAGCAGAACTTTTATACTTCTTTATTCACTGCACTTAAGATAAATGTCTTTTTTTTTCTTTCTCAAATACTGAGGTTCAATTGAATATGTAGTGGCATTTCATTTATATTTTAATAAATAAAACATGCCTGAAGATCAGAGAGTAAAACAGTTTCACTAGTCAGCCTTACAGACCAGGTAGTGGCAACACACACCGTTAATCCCAGTAGCCACACTAGTTGCCATAGAAACTGGGTGGTGCATACCTTTAATCCCAGTGGTGCATCCCTTTAACCCCAGCCATAGAGAGGATTATAAAACAGGAGGAGACAGCTCTCACTTTCATTCTGAGACTCCTGGAGGCAGGATCACCATTTCAGACTGAGGTCAAGGTAAGAGCCAGTGGTTGGCTGTTTTGCTTTCCTGACCTTCAGGTTGAACCCCAATATCTTTCTCTGAGTTTTTATCAATCGTGCTTTATGAATAACTTGAGAATTTATGACTGTTAGTTAGAACTTTACAAGCTTTGGAAGTAACTGTGATAAAACAGAAGGTACCACCACTTCAGGTGGTGCCCAATAAATAATGGTGCAGGATCTTGCTCGTAGGCGGGTCCCTGATGCCTGCTTCCATTTTGGTGACACCTGCTTCTTTTTAAAAAATCGAGTAAAGTCTAACAACCTGAGCATTGGAATGTGGCTACATATTTACAAAATTCGTCTGCAAGTCCAAGCATAAAGCAGATGTGTTGCAGGCAGTTTTTATTTAGAAATACTATGTTCAGCTGTGCAGACTTGGCTTACCTGCTGTATTCACTGAGTAGTTACAAGCAGTGGGCGTGAGCACAGCTAAGCCAGGTATGAGAGCATATAGCTGTAATGCCAATACCTGGGAGGCTGAGGCAAGAGGTCAGCCTGGACTGTAAGGAGCCCTTATCTCAAACATGAATCCTACAAATAAAATTCCAGATTAAATGAATCTCTAGGTATGAAGACATTTACTGCTTTAAATGTCAGAACTTTAGCTTGCATTGCTAAGTTTCTACCATTGTCCCAGTGAGAGCTGAGGGACACAACTGTGATTTCTAAGGGTGAAGGAAGCTCTCTCGAAAGAACCCCTTCCACAGCAGGGAGTGGATGATGTCCTTAGGCTACACTTGCCCTCCAAGGGATAGAAAACCTCTAAAAGTCTGCAGTTCTGGAGACTGGAAAGGGATTAGAGCATTCATTGTCTTGAGTCCCCTTTCTCCTTTGGTCTTAATAAAGTTTAAGCATGTTTGCCTATCAAGAATGTAAGATTCTTTGAAATTAGATGCTTTAATTTAAAAATAAGATATATATATATATACATATATCCCATGTTGTATATGACTTCAGTCTCCTGAACATTCAGCATTCCAGACAAACACTAATCAAAACAGCACATGAGTGAGGTGTTAGAGACTGCACACTGCACGGCTTGTTTGAATCCAGAGATTGATTATTTCATTTTATCAGGAGTACCTAACCTGTATCTGAGCCATTTTGAAATTTACAAGGCTCTAGAAGGTTGGCTTCTAATTCTTTCAATAATCTATATTGACTATACCCCTTATAAAAGTATATCTGTAACTGATTTTTAAAGGAAAGCCTTGTCTCAAACTTTGAGAAATGAATTCATGGTAACAAGGCATCAGTAGCGCATGGTTGCACCCCTAAACATTCGATCAAGGCCATTGAAAACAGTCCCAGAGCATAGCTTTAAAGTGACTCAGAATGAAACATTACAATTAGAATTGCTAATGGCAATGTAAATTTGATCTAAATAGAAGTAAAATCTTATTTTGCCAACTGTTTAGAGTTACTCCAAGAAATAAATCATTTATTCTGGCCAGCTCTTTGAAATGAACAAATTGTGCTTTGACAGCTACATCATTTGCACTCAAACTCCAAGAACAGGCTCCCAGACGTGCTTTGGGAGTCGCTGTTTCAGCTAAATGGCATAAAACGACAATTTGATAGAAATAGAGGGTTATATATATATTTATTGATGAACTCCAATTAAAGTTCAATCACAGTATTTACTCAGCTTATCGTAGGCTGAATGCCGAGATGTCAGAATGTAACAAAGATAAAGTATCCCTTATCGAATGAGGCCAGGCATCGTTAACAAGTGACAGCCATCATTCGTGAGCACACAGATCTCAAGCATGTTGCACACACAGGCTTATTATCCGTTGTAAAATGGGGTGGCGAGGCTATTGGGCAGGCTGACTCATTTCTTTAGAAATACCCTCAATCGATGCCATGTATTAAGTCATCAGAGAAGAAATGAAATAATCACCCTCCACAAAACAGCCAGGATCATAAACTCTATCCAGGAAGACAAATGATGAGAAATTGAGGTGGGATGTGATTTGAAACTCATGATTTCTGAGATACTTAAGTTATTCAGCAGGAAAGAAGAACAAATAAAAAAACCTAACGATTGACATGCCGCTTTACTAGATTAAAATATACATCAAATACTCGTATTGACGCATATGTCTTATTAACATGCCAATGTGCTATTGAATTCTATTTGATAACATAAGTATAAATGAATATTTATTACATTAGCTAATTACATTTTTAAAAGTCTCAGGAGGCATTAACTCTTTAGATGTTAGACGGAAGCAAATACAATAACAATTTCATTTACTTAAAATTAAAGAATAATTTGCAGTTGTCTTCATCTCAAAGAATGAAATAGAACTTTTGGAAGAAAAATGTCTCATGGACTAGATGATAAGTTATAACAGCTACTAAAGAGTAAATGGAAAATGTAAGGGGTAATTAATACGTCAGGGTCTACCTTAGGACTGTTTAACAGTCCTCACATCTTGCCTACGGGTAGCATCAACTTAATTTTCGGTTCTCCTTGTGTGTATACCTGTGTGTATGTCTGTGTGTATTTCTGTGCGTATGCCTGATATGAGAATATCTGAAATGTGACCCACGTGAAAGGGTCGTTTGACCCCCAAAGGGGTTGTGACCCACAGGTTGAGACCTTGAACTTTGGAATTCTCCATCTCCCCTCCCCTGCAAGTTTCTGAGAGGCTGGTATTATAGGAATAAGCTAGCAAACCTGGCTCCCAGTATTTTATTGAGAAGGTAAAAATAAATCTGTGTAGAATAAAAGAAAAAAAAATATATATATGTGTACAGCACAGAAGAAGAGGGTGAGTGGGGAAAGGGTACCAAGTCTATATGTGTATTATAGTTTTCCATGCAATAGCTCCATGGAGCTTCAGAATTTTGGAATCATTGGGAGAAATAATAAGCAGTCATTGTTTCTCCACAGTAAGCATGTCATGCCTTATCACATTCCCTGGGGGTACATAGCAACTGTGTATCCATAACTCAAGGATGGTACAGGGGAGGGGAGAGGGAGGATCATAACACAGCCCCTGGAGATAGAAAAATGAACCTTCATTGTTCTTGTCTCTCCATCTACAACTCCCAAGGGAATCTACTTCACAACCCCTCTTTGTTATCCTGCTCAGCCAGTCAGTGTAGCTCACATGTGACCAACCAAACTTTAATCTCAAGAGGCGTGAGAAAAAGTTCAAGGTGATATTTCCCTACATAAGTAAATTGAATGTGGATGAATGGGTGTGTCTCATGCTTTCAGGCTGAGTTCTAGTGCTGTTATTATAATTATGTTTCAATAAAGGAACTTAATACAAATTTTATAGGGCTCTGAGGGCATAGCTGATCCTTGGTATGCCTTGGTATGGCTTACACTTCCCTGTCTGATTCTACTCATGAGCATCCTGCTTTAATGAGAACAGAAAATAGAAGAAAGGTTTCACACAAACTAACAGATTGAGAAATAAGGTAGTAGTAGAACCAGATGAAGAATGTCAGATGCTAACTCCCAGACAAAACATTAACTTTTTGAAATAGCGAGTTCTGAGGAGTGGGACCACAACTTTCTATGAAAGTATATCCAGGGCACTATCACACACACACACATGACTGCTACAAAATCATGACTCTTTTATTAACTTACAACTATATGGTAACATGCCGTGACATGGTAGCTTAGTATAGATGTTGACTTCATCCTGTGTCAACAACATGTAGTTCTTTGTATGCTTCTTTTAAAACTCTAATTAATAAATAAAAACCACTAGCATATTAAGTTATATTAGAGCAGAGAGTGATCTATTTAACACATTTATTTGTGTAAGGCTACTGAGACCAAAGGCCTGAATATATATTCTATATGAAGACACACAGGCATAAAGGGGTAGATTTAGGAAGGAGAACATAATTAAGAGTTCATAAAGACCCAGTTGACCCAGGCTACTAAAAAGTAACAGATACTTAAAATGCATATGCATCTTAGGAATATTAGGGTTATCTCTAGCTAAATTTATCAGAGGGGTAGTGGTGGTGGAAGTAGTGGTGTACTTATACATTGAAGAAGAACCTGAAGGCAAGGTCAGAACATAAAAGAAAAAGAAGTTGTCCAAAAGTGTAAAGACAACAGTGCATCTTACCATGCCTGCACTCTGGAAGCAGAGGCATGGGGATCAAGAGTTGCAAGACAGTTTGCCCTACATAGCAGAACCTCTTGCAGAGAGCCAGCATTGGGGATGTAGCTCAGTGGGACAGTATTTCTTTAGCAGGTACAGGACTCTAGATTTGATCTCTAACATGGAGCGGGTGGTGGGGAGTACAGATTTCTGTTTGAACCATTGGTAGGACATTTATAGGACACGACCAAAAAAATATATGTCAGAAAACAAAGTTGTTTTTAAAACGACAAGAGAAAACATTGATGACATGAAAAATGAAGAAAACAATTTTTCATAATTCAGAGAAACAAATGTGTACTCTCTAGACAGACTTTACCTCTCAAGGAAGGGCAGAAGGGCAAATCAAATTGTTTACATGAAAAAGTGCAAATAATTAATTTCCCCCCTAAATTCAGCTACCTCTCTAAGACAGAGTAGTGAACTTATGTTGGTTTTCAAAATAGAGAGCTTTGGAAGCAACTTTTGAAAAGTTTGTCAGTACTATTAAAGATAGGGTCACTATCTGAAAACCAAGTGTTGCAATTAAAGAGACAGGCAAGCCAGACTTCAATTCTGATGCAGCTCTCTGTCTCCCCAAGTTAGCTCACAGTGTGGAATTCAATGTGTAGAGTCAGCTCCTTCAACAACCATATATCAACAAGGCCTGGGTGGACTTACTTTCCTAATGATCCTTTTTACGGTGGGTTCAACCTGTACCGATAGTTACAAGGTGAGTTTTACATATCTTATAGTAAGTTCTGTTTGCTATTGGCTGTGCCTCATGTTTACATTTGAAAATAGAAGCATATGTAAACTGTGAATATCATTTTGTATGTGATAATGATGGATTCTTCTTGTAGACCCTTATGGATCACTTAGTTTTCTAAAACATGACAGAAAAGATTTAAATCTCTTACCTATCCCTGAGAATAGTCCAGAGTTCTCCACCTAGGCAAGCTTCCATCAACATATACAAGTATTTGCTGTCTTTGAATGTCCTGTACAGCCTGTGAACAGGAACAAGAAAACAAAAGTATAAACATTATTATCTTTTACACATTCACTCTTTTAAGTTTGGTGAATTATTTTATATATATATATGTATATACACACACACACACACACACACACACACATATATATATATATAATTATGGGCTACAACAAGGTGTTTTAATACATATATGTACTGCTTTATGGTTAAGCCAGGGTACTAAGCACATGTATCATGTATTTGTAGTACAAAATTATAGTGAGGTGGGAGGAATGAGTTCTGGTTCTATCTACAGGGTCTACAGGGTTAACAATATTGAATTGAATATTTAAAAATAGATTAAAGACAAATTGTAATGTCCTTCTCATGAAAGTCAGTACTTGGGTTTTAGTGTTCTGATTTTTTTTTTTTTTTGGAGTTTTGCTTGCTAGTCTTGGTGTTTAGTGATGAGAATAAGGGCACTCAGGTCTACAAGAAGGCAGTGTCCCCTTGGATAAAACTTACAAACCACAGGACTAGAAGCTTCTGGTTTGGGGTTGTCTTAATAGGTATGCACACATGAGCGTTTCTTGAGGCTCGATCAATTCCTATTTGGCTAGTATTTCAAGCATGGCCTTGAGCAAGACTTAGTGGTCACAAGCACAAAGGTGTGTAGATATAAAGCATATTATATTTTATAAATAGAGATTGTAAATAGTCACTTAAATTTATATCTTAACTTTCTGTAAGTATTACTGGAAAATTGGCTATAAAAGTTTCTCCTGCATATAAAAGTTTTATTATCTTATTAGTTTTATGAAAATACTGAGGTGCACAGACCAGCTGCTATTTCATAAAAGAAACCTCCTGGGCTGGAGAGATGGCTTAGTGGTTAAGAGCATTGCCTGCCCTTCCCAAGGTCCTGAGTTCAATTCCCGGCAACCACATGGTGGCTCACAACCATCTGTAATGAGGTCTGGTGCCCTCTTCTGGCCTGCAGGCATACACACAGACAGAATATTGTATACATAATAAATAAATTAAAAAAAAAAACTTCCTGGGGTTGGGGAAGTTGTTCAGTTGGTAAAGTACTTGCCAGGTAAACAGGAGGCTCTGTGTTTGGATCCCCATTTGGATCCCCAGTACCCACATGAAAGCTGGGCATGGCTGCACCCAACTATAAGCCAAGTGCTTGGGGACTGGCGACAGGCAGAGCTCACTAGAGAGCCAGCCCAGCCAAGTCAATGATTTCAGATTCAGTAAGAGACCATGCTTCAAAAACTAAAGTGCAGTGAGGATAAAGAAATCACAGGCACCAATCTCTGGCTTCCACACATATGTGCACTCACCTGCACACACACCTGCATGCACATGTGTACATGTGAACACAAACATATATACCACACACACAGAGAAAGAAAGAAATTCTTCAGAAAATTAACACTAAATAGACTGATTTGGGTGTTTGTTTCTCGTGTTCCCTGTGCCTTGTGTTCGATGCAGATGCTAGTAGAGTTACGATAAAACGAAATGTTAAAAGTTGATATCTCTTTTGGGAAAAATATCCTTTTGTGAGAATATGAGAATGATTCTCTTTAAAAAACAAATGTAGATTTATATTTGGAAAATCAGGTGCAATTTTCTAGAGTTTCCTTTGTGAGCGTGAAATACATGCATTAAGGCTAAGCTCAGTGGGAGCAAGGGCTGCAGTTGATCTGCCACGCGGAGCTCACATCCCCTGTTAGCGTGTGCCTTTACCTCACAATGAAGTCGGAATGAGCCCCCTGCATGATCTGCTTCTCCGAGCGGATGTGTTCCTGCTGTCTCGTGTCCACAATGTGGCGTTTCTTGAGAATCTTCATCGCAAATGTTTTGGATTCTTCACTTTTCAATTGGACCTTAAAGACAAGCAGAAAGGACACGTGAGTAGGAACCTACAGGCTAAATATTGCCAGACAGCACCATTGGCCTGAAATTAATGGATGCAGAGAGGATATGAATGAATCCAAACTGCCACCCAAGTTGCACAGGGGACATTCTTGCTAGAGGGACTGAGTTAACAATCACAGGGTATAGCCATCCTATCTTACTGAGCTGGGTCATATGAGCGTCAACTAACTACATCCCGAATTAATTTTGTACCCATATGAATCGGAAAAAATGTACCTCATGTTTCATTTTATTTCATATAATGAGTCACATATAATATGTAGTCTTTCTCATCAAAAGCATCTAATTTCCTCTTGAATTCTATTTCATGTGCTGATGGCAAAGTATGATCACATGACCACCTGGGACTTGATACTCTTCTAAGTCCTCATCCACAGGCATTTCTAGAGTTAAGTTTTAATGATTGATCCTGGTTCTTGCCGGGACTGGAGATGTACATGTCATAACTGTTATTTATTATCCAGTTTACTTTCCAATCTTTTCATGCCGCCAGTTAAAACTATATGTAACACATTTTGTTCCAGATTTTTGAAAACCACTTTCTTTCTCCACCATGCTCAATGGTATTAATCTCCTTTGATCTTAAATCTTACTCCTTAGTTTTATCTACGGTAGACCGATAAAGTAAACTTGCAAGTCATGTAGCCCACATGGCCACCTGTGCCTACGGAGAAGGCTGAGATCCTCCAACATCTTATCTCAGATGGGTTGCAGGTGTGTGTTGATGCTTACAAGAGATTCAACCAAGAGACCTGTAAGTCAAGGAAGGGCCATGTTGGAGCTGCTCAGTTAAGGTGGTCAAGGGAGCTATCACTGAGAGGTCTCCAGCACTGAAACTTCACAGCAAGGCAACATTATTCAGACCAAAAGAAAGCTTTGAAGAAATAACATGGCATGTCCTGGCTCAAGCACTGCTTGGCCCTTCTTGAGTTTTGAATTCTTGCTGCTTTATCTGCAGAGATAGTGAGGTTTTGTTGTTGTTGTTTGTTTGTTTTTTTGTTTTGTTTTTCAAACAGGGTTTCTCTATAGTTTTTGGAGCCTGTCCTGGAACTAGCTCTTGTAGACCAGGTTGGCTTTGAACTCACAGAGATTTGTCTGCCTCTGCCTCCTGAGTGCTGGGATTAAAGGCGTGCACCACCACCGCCGGGCTATGTTGTTTGTTTTTGTTTCTCTAGACAGGATTTCTCTGTGTAGTCCTGACTGTTCTGGAACTCGATCTGTAGATTAGAATGTCTTAGAACTCACAGAGATCTGCCTGCCTCGGACTCCTGAGTACTAGATTTAAAAGTGTGCACCAACACTGTGAGGGTGCGTGTATGTCTGTATTTGTATGTGTGTTAGTAAGTTCTTAGGTGTCTTGTCTGCACACAGTGTTGGGACTGAATTCAGGCTAAGACGACTTAATATGTCAGGAGAAGTGAGAGGACACATCAGACAGTGGAGTTTGTATTTAGTGTTAATCCATGTGAGAAGTTAAAGAGAAAAAGAGAATAATGTGAAAATGTTTATAGCAGCCAAAGAACCTCTCTCTGGTTTGTCTGTCTGTGAAACTCCTTAAAACTAGATTAGTATGGTACAAATGAATTCAGTTGTAGTTCATAATAAAATACAAATGTAGACACTCACTTCAAATAGGAATGTGGACAGACTAAGAAGACAAAGTGACAAAGAGCAGTTGTGAGAAGAATAAAATTCTAAAGGGAACAGACATTCCAAAGAGAAGGAAAATGTAGCCTTATTCAGATAACAAAGAGAATCTTATGCACCTCAGATGTCGAATTTAGGCATTGTTCTCTTTGTTGATGGCACTGGCTTCTCACTTTTGCACAGGGTAGGAAAAGAGATCAGCATTTAGAACCACAGGACTCAGTTCTAATTCTGCCCCTTCTTAGTCTCTTTGACTGGTTTGGCTGGTTGCTTAACTGCTGCAAGCCCTAACTCTTAGAAAGACAATAGCAGCGACTGATGTGGAATCATTGTGAACCTAAAGGAGGATGTATCAATGACATCTTTGATGGCCTTTCCATTAGTCTTTCTGCCTTGTGTGGTAGCCTATATCAGGTAGGGACAATAAAACGTTTCTTTTAAGAAGTCTGCCTTCTCACAGAAGCAAACTTGGCACAAGTGGATTTAATATAACAATTACGTAAACTGGTAAAATCAAAGGCAAGCTACACACACACACACACACACACACACACACACACACACACACACGTGTTGTCTAAGTTCACTGGATTACCAACTGGCAGACTGGGTTCATATTCAGGGCATTTGGAGCCAAACTACTGTAAATACACACAGATTTTCTTCAGTTGGATATAAAACAAAATGAAGGTATGATGGTAGATGTTTACAAATATGAGTTTAGTGGAATAGACTAAGTATAAAAAATCAAACCATGTATTTATTGACTTGTATTTTCATGATTCTAAATGGGTGACGAGACCCTCCAAAGGGACTAATGAAAGCCTTGTTGCTTGGAGTGGTGAAATGGTTCATCAAGTCAAGGTGCTGGCTGCCACATCTGATAACCTGAGTTCAGTCCTTGGAAACTACGTGGTGAAAAAAGAGAACTGACTCCTACTAATGTCCTCTGATTTCTGCACATGAGCAATGGCATATAGACCCTTCTACATATACACATGTACACGTACAAAATAAAAATAAAGAAATGTACAGAAAAGAAGAGAAACCTATGTTATTCCCTTAGTCATTTAGTATGTAATCTGGGGTTTTGGACATCTGATTGCTTGAGTCATATAAGAGGCCAAAGTGGGTAGCAAGTGGCCAATGGAAAAGGAGAGGAGGCCAGCTTCATGAGAGGTAAAATGAATTCCAGCATCTTTTCTTTAAAGACATTTTATTCCCAATTATGTGTATGTGTTTGGGTCTATGCATGTGACTGCGGGTATCCATGGAAGTCATGCAGAGGAAAAAGGTATCTGATACTTTGGAGCTGAAGCTATGGGTGGTTGTAAGCCAATCCCCACAACTAACATGGGTGGTGGGAATCAAACTCAGGGCCTCAGCAAGAGCAGTATGTGCTCCTCAACTGCTGAGCTCTCTGTTCAGTCCTGAATTCTAGTTTCTTAATCTTAGAAGCCAGAGTGCCCAGCAACTGCCAGAGTGAGCTAACTCAACACAGAAAGTTCAGGTCAGTTTCCTGAACAACACCCAACTAATGTGTATATCAAAATTCATCTGACAATCCCATAATGTTCCAAAGACCATTCACAGATGTTTAAGTCAATATTGTTCCTATCGTAAAAACCAGAAACAGTCTAAATGTTTGTCAGTAGGAACTTGGAAAAAATAAATTATGCAATGTCTATGTAATGTAGCTCTAAAATTGATGCTAGAATAATAATTAAAATATATGAATTAATAGTATGAGTTGTAGGGCAGTATATATTTTATGATTCCATGGCATAGCTCCACATGAGCATATGCCTAATACCTGTATCAAAAACAGATTTATGAAAGGACAACCTGAAAGTCATCAATATGTTCATAATAATTTTTCCTGTATGTGTAATTTTAGTTAACACTTCCTTAAAACTTTTGGGTGGTTTAATATTTATAGAATTTATGTATTTTACTTTTATGAGGAGTAGAAATTAAACCTTAGTTGCAGAAATTATTTTACAGACTTTCTAAGAACTGGGAATATACCCCTGTGGTAGTGTGCTTGCCTAGCAGATGTGAGTCCCCAGATTCAATTCCCAGTTAATTGAAGATCCTTTTAAATTATAATAGCTACTTGATATTAGAATTCCACAAATACAACGAGAAGTAATGTACTATACAACCATGTAAGATATAAATCTATGCAGGTTTTGAATAATTGCATACTATTAATTTCTTTAAGGATTTGTTATAATTTATTTTTTTCAGTCTGAACTTTCGAAATAAGGTTTGGCAATTTGTATTTCATAAGTGTAAGGTAATATGTTTAATATGAGTTATATTTAATGCACAAAAGTTTTAAATCAAAGATAAAAGTTTGCCTTCTTTATTTTCTCTGTGCCTAATTAGTTATATTGAGTACACGTGTGAAAATTTGAGATGAGGATGATGGCGGTAATGACTTTTATTCTCTAGTAGCCCATTCACTAGAAGAAAGGATTAGTGTTATGTTCTGAAAGAAGTGGGAAAAGAGGAGAAATGAATGCATATTTCTATTTGTCCTTCCTTTTGCCTAAGCCTCCTCTCTGTCCCTTGGCCAAGCTTGTTCTCGGGTTTGTCTTCCCTGGTAGACCATCCTAACTTAGATGCAATGCAGTGCATCCTAACAGGGATTATCCACTGACTGAGGGTGGCTAGGCTGATAGTTAACTACCTTTGAATCTCAACTGTGTTTTGAACTCTGATCTTGTAGACGTTCTGCAAATTCTTTCTGTCCATGTTCTCGTCTCTATAATAGGAGGAATTCACAAAGGGTAACCTTGGAAATTGATAAAAGGCTGCATAAAATAGAGTTACTATTTGGTGAATATCTTTCTGTATACCTTAGTTTAATGGAGTCTTTTGGTCAAAGCACTCGGCATATGTTCTTTTACAGACTGAGTGCCACACTGAAGCAGGAGAGAAAGGCAAGGGGAACCATGAGCACACATAAAAGGAGAACAGTGCCTTATCCCAGAATCTGACCACAGCTTCTCTCCCACCGAGAAGCAGGAATTCCAATACAATGAACAGTTTTCTGTGAAAGTTATCAACATGGAGGTAATATTCCTTTCACACATATAATTTATGTTGAAACGGCAATGAGCCAGGCTTAAGTCTTGAGTTGATATGACCCTGAGAAGGACTTCATTCCTTTCCTTGGACATTTTCTGGGAGTCTCAAGCATGCTATATTTTTGTTTACAGTAAAAACATCTAAATTTCCCCTGAAACCCTTGTGATCCAAGATCTGCTCTAACCCTATCCAGTGCATGGGAACT